CTCATTTTCCAATCTTCTTTGGTATTGCTGGTTTTGAGCGCAATCTTTCAAACTTTGCCAGCCATGACCACAAGGTCATCCACAATGCATTTTCGATGAAATTAACCTATCCAATTTCGAAATTTCTCTCCGTTGTGTGTCAGCCCAGGTTGAATTTTTGTCAATGCTTGACAAAAATTTCCTGTTTTTGAAAAAATTAATATTTTTATTTTGCACAAACAAAATACAGTTTAATCCAATTATAACATATTGGATGTAACAACAACCTTAATATAATGTCAAATTTTTATTGGTCTCACGATTTTACTATGATATAATATGTTTGCACTTCATGCCGACGTTTACTATCACTATAATACTTAAGTGCAGTGGCATTACAGGAGTGGAGTCCCAGACACAGAAATTTATCTGACTTTTGGAGAAAGATCTTATCCGCTAGCACTTTCAGTAGTGTAAAACTACCATCATCAAGCAGTATATAGAATATGATAGTTTAAAGCTTTCCGAACGATATTCTGATGGTTTTACAAATTTTAATATTGAATATTTTGAATGATGTTTCTGACGGTTCAGCTGATTATGGTTTTCGAATGTTATTTAAAAGTTCTTACATCATAGCGCATAGATAAGAATGATAATAAATAAAAGTATCATAGTGAGAAATGGCAGTAAAAGAGCTTAGTTCATGCATGTAGTGCGCACCAAGGCAAAATAAGCATGTGAGCAAGAAAGGAGTATTAATATCTTGGGTTGAGTTGTTTGAAAGCTGTTATCCAAATTTGTGGGACTCCACACCGTGCAACTCCCCAACTTTCAAGCTCCCACAAATTGTGGACAATTGTCCTAGCCATCCCCAAAATAAGTCATCTTACAAATGTAAAACTGGTATTTTGGTCTCCAAACACTATGTCAAAAATTAAACCTTTTGACTGAGACATAATCAAAACATTCAAAATGCACTACTGAGTCCAGCTTCTACAGTAGGTCATTGCTAAAATGTCCATCTGCTGCATCAGTTACTGTTCTGGATGGTATTCTCTGGGTTACTTCTGCTTAGAATAAAGTTCAGCCTGAAACACTTCAGAAGTGCTTCAAGAAAGCTAAATTTGTTTCAACTTGAGCATGATGTTGCACCAAACAGCCCATCTTCCATGGTGGAATTTGAGGGAGTAGATTTTGTGGGTTTTGTTGCAGTGGATAAGAACATGGCAATCTGCAATGAACCTGACCTAAAAGCAAATTTTCAATTAGCATTAATCAAAGCACAATTTAGCAGAAAAGCACCGGAAGCAATTGAAGTAAAAGAATTAAGTGAGAAGAACCTAGAAATTGATTGCAGATATTCCAAATGAAGAGGATGTCAATCATTTGATAATGCAGTTAGTTATTTGCCAAGGAAAAATGCTTAGGTATGCTGAGTAGTATAGCCAGTATTGAGAATGCTTTCTCCACTTACCTTCATATAAAGAATAAGAAACAGACTAAAATTGACTTTTTTATTTTTTTTTCCAAACCATGAGAAAACAATACATATGCAAATGTATTGATTTTGTATGATACAGTATTGTATGAATGATTTTCTTGTGTTTTCACAGTGTGTGTTTCTGTATGACATTCTCTAATAAAAGCTGTACAATAAAACAAAGTGTGTCTACTTATCAGTACAGTTGTTCTATATTTTGACCAGTTTCCTTTAGTCCCTTGGGTGGTCAACTTTCAGAGGTCTTACTGTATATAAATCTATCTTTTTATTCTTAAAATGGCTCATGCTATTGTCAAAAGATATAACTTATTTAATGGTAATTTGAAATAAATAAAATGTTTATTTAAAAATTTATGAATTTTATAATTATAATTAGTTTTTGTGTGTGTGTGTGTTATATACACAGGGTTGTTAAAAAAATAACTTCTCCAACTCAAGAGGGTTCTGTAGCATGTTCCACTGCTAAAAAGGAAACATTTGGAAAATAGGTTGTCCAAACTCACCATTTATTAAATAAAAATTTTTTGTGCAAGAAGTCACCAATAAGTGGTGCCAGAGTTATGGAAATCAGTTGTAAATGTTCAATATGTCCTCCATTCACAAGAATATTTTCCATTGCTGAACTCAATGAGTCCACTTTAATTGTGAGAATATGCTGACAAATACTGTCCTTTAGATCTGACACAGAATCACATTGTAAAGTACTATATTATTTTTCTGACTTTTCTAACAATTATCGACATGACTGTGTGCCAGAAATAGCTGTTACCTAACGGGTACTTTATGCGGATTCACGTTAATGTGCCAAGCCTGGACTTTAAGCATGCACCGAATTAAATAATGACAAAGTTAGTCAAAAACAATCCAATATTTAATAAAAATTCTAGTAATAACTATATACAAAATGTAGTAAAAATCAAATAACAATTTATTCAACGTAAATCAATAAAAATCAACCTGACAAAACTCAAATCAATCTATTTTCTAACTTAACTATTCCCCTTTGGAATTTGACAAAAAATTCAAAGACTTAACTTATGTACAATGATTCTTATGAATTAAAGGTCCTAATTGTCACCTCAATATACTAGGAACCTTTTTCCTCAACTCTCAAGACTTTCTCTAATCTTCATCCACAAATCAAATAACTTCAAAATTGCCTTGGAACTACTTTATCCTATCAGACACATCTCTCTCGTTTGCTGCTACGAAGCTCACCACGCTCATTGCTAACAGAAACTCACCTCGGTCATCTTCACTTGAGGTTTGGTCTTTATACTGTCAGGTGATGTCACAATTCTGAGTGAGATCACTCCCTTCATTTACATACTTATTTGCTAACAATAAAAACTATGTTTGTCTGGCAGCCTATTGTCCGACAATACTTGCTAAACTTTTACATTATTATTATTATTTTTTTTTTTTTGGGATGTTTTATTCTTTAAGGTTTAGCAAGTTCCTAAGTTGTGCTTGTGGGGTCTCCCCCCTTTTCTCGGTGCGGACTTACTTTTTTCTGCTTGGGAGCACAAATGTGAGCGAGTTTTATCTATGGTGCTTTTCTCTCATCGGTGAGTTGGTTTCTCTTCTATTTTTAAGTTTCTAAGGCGAGTGGTGAGGAAACCTTTGTCCTAACAAAACATAAGCCGCAAACAAAAATAGAATAAAAGCAAAAATAAAATAACGCTCAGACTTGGTTCCTTACAACATCTTTCATGATAGACCTGTTCTTTCAAGGAACTCCATTACCAGAAGTCACATGGGTTGAGATCAGGTGAATGAAGAGTCCAAGCTGTTGGGAAGTAATGGATGATCACCCATCCACCTGTGAAACTGCCTTAACACACATTGAACAGAGTACATGATGTGGGGTGGTGCATTATTTTGCATGAATATGGTATTCTGAAGGCACTTATATCATTGAAGCCCTGGGATCACAAAAGTCATTATCATGTTAAGATACCATTCTCCAATGATGGAACAGTTTGAACCCCAGTGCATAGATCTGTCATCACCTATCAGTGACATTTTGTATAAAAAATTTTTATTTAATAAATTGTGACTGCAACATCTGAATTACTGTACCTGTTGTCCAAATGTTTCATTTCAAGTAGTAGAACACATTTCCGAGTCCTATGAGTTGGGGAAGTTATTTTTTTAAATAACCCTGTACTTTAATTAAAACTATTATAAAAACAGTATTTGTCATATATGTAAACCTCCAAGGAATAACCCACACCAAACTGCCCTTGACCTAGTTCGGTCACTCCTTACCTTTGACTTTTGTTGCGTTTCTTTGTCTCTGAGATGTCGTTTGTTAGCTGTAGTGAGGCACAAAGTTACATTTGTATTATAATAAAGTTAATTACATATGCTAACGAGTAGTTTATTTTCAGAGACACCTTATTTTTATTTTTACTTTATTTTTCTAGCTTTCTACTATTGGCTTTCTGTTGATCTATTCAGCTAAACTTTTCAGGATAGGTTTTAATTAGAACAAATATTATATTACATAAAGCTTTTGTTACATTTGCATTATTTACATTTTAGTTTTTAATATAAAGAAAAGTCAATTTGTAAAAACAAACATTTAATTAAATTTATCACATTTATTTTTTAATAAAAATATTTTTTGCTTTCATTAACAAATAATGTACAATTGATAAACTCCAAAATACCTTTAAAATGCAGTCTATTTTAAAACTTCTCAAACGTTTTCGGTCAGATTAACAGACCTTCTTTAGGATCAAACTAATAGAATTTAAATTTGCCAAATGGAAATTCCAAAACATTCTATAATCTTCTCATACTCAATTGCGCATGTCCATTTTTATAATTGTAATGCCGCCACTTTCCATGCTGATGCTATTTTGTTTGATTCTCGAAAATTTATATTTTGCCCTTTTTCTCTGTATTTGAAAATGTGCCAGGCTTCTGCATATTTTAGATGTCTTCTATTTTCAACCTTTTGTATGACATCTGTCTTGCTCCATTTGATTTCAATCTTTTTCTGCTTGTATTAAGGCTTTTACTTTATTTTGCTTAAGTCCTACATCTCTTGCGAGCTTTGTGATGTATTCCAGCTCTTTACGTGTGTCATGAATTTTGCTACAATAAGTGTATGCTATTTTAATCAGTGCTCTAAATGCTGATTAAAAGAACATTTACAAATACAGAGAAAAAGGGCAAAATATAGATTTTCGAGAATCAAACAAAATAGCATCAGCATGAAAAGCGGCGGCATTACAATTATAAAAATGGACATGCGCAATTGAGTATGAGAAGATTATAGAACATTTTGGAATTTCCATTTGGCAAATTTAAATTCTATTAGTTCGATCCTGAAGAAGGTCTGTTAATCTGACCGAAAACGTTCGAGAAGTTTTAAAATAGACTGCATTTTAAAGGTATTTGGAGTTTATTAATTGATTATAGTAATGCAGGTAGAGATATAAATAATGTACAGTACATGTACCGAGTTTTATTAGTAATTTTTCTATATTTACTATTTCATGTAAAGGTTGTCATAAAATAACACTTGAAAATAATGGAGTTTATTCAGTAATTGGTAATTGCAACAGGACTTGTTCCTGGATTATTCCTCCTAAAGAACAGGATGAAAGTAAGTATAAGCATCTATAATATGTCAATGATTTTGAAAGTGACCTAAGTCATGTATTTCTCATTTTGAGATATTTAAGATTTTGTGTTTGGATGTATAAATATTTTATAACTATATAACAAAATATTTCGTTGAGTATCTGCTCGTATAATGTAAATATTTTCTATGATTGTAAAATTTGATTTGTAAGTTATAAGTAAATGTGTTATTACAGAGGTCAAATGACAGACCATTTTCAAAATTAATTGTATATTAATGAAAAATAATGAATTTTATTAGAAAAAGTTAGATATGAACATGCTCGTTTACATTTTACAATCATGATTTTGATTAATTTTTTTTATTCTTTTTTAAATTTTTTTAATGTGTTCTTTAGTTTTGAGTACTTCAAAATATTCCTGATAAATTGGCAGGATGTAAGCAATCAGTCCATCATTTCGTTATATGTTTTCTGTTATTGTTCTGATGGTAATGTGAGGAAGTAGATAGGATGACATCACTCACATGGTGAAGAAATACAAATTCTAGAATTTACGTGAAGGAAGATGTATCATTTTCCGACAAGGAAGTCAAACTGGAAATAAACTTTATTAACTTTTCTCTAGAAATTTATGACTTTAGGCTTTGTAAAGCTTTCAAAAAACATCAAATATTAATTTTTCGAATAATTAAAATAACAGTTCCAGATCCTCATATCAACTTGTAATGGAAGCAATTGAATATTTTGATATAATTTTTGCTTTTCTCTTTTAGGTGAAAAATCTAAAACATGGAATTTGGCATATTATCCAAAGATATCTTATAGAATATTTTATATGGTATAGTTTTTAGAAATCTCAATCATTGTATTTGTGTAGTTCTTGCTGACAAAGTTATAATCAATAGTATCTGACTCAAGCGAAAATTCACACCAAAGGCGTTAAGGAGCATTTTAAGGAACATTTTATTTCCGTCTGGAACTTTCGACAAAGATATGAACATCGTCTTCAAGTAGTAATTAAAAATGAACAGATTTCAAATGGTTTAAATTTAAATGATAACAGCATTAGCCATTTGGAACATAACATTAATAACAAGTAAATTTAAAACATTAATTTGAAATGCGTGACATTATATGTAAATTACAATAGTATCTGTAAAAACCAGATAAGAATAAAGGAATGTGGGGCAAGAGTATGAACTGAATTTTTTGTCTTGTTTTACATGTTGTGTGCAACATTAAATGTTGTGGCTGTATGTCATAGTATAATTTTCACTTAGTCATAGTTTAGAATCTTTCCTTCATTCTTTGTTCTTTCTTACTCTAGTCCTTTGGGAGGTGAGAGCCAATTCATGGAACCACATGAGCAAAGAGGGACAAGGCTACCTGAGGGCATGTTTGGAAAAAGAGGAATCTTTTTCTCTGCTGGCCTTCTGGAAGTAAAAATAATGATGAAGATGCTGAATGTTGTCAAGTATCAGCAAGAATGGTGAAACCAAACTGGCATGAGAAGAATCAATGAACTTAATGAAGCGAATCTCAAATTTAGAAAAACAAAGACAACGACTCAAAATCAGTCCAAGTGAGTTCTATGTGGCCTCTCATGGAAGTTGTGTAACATTTGTACATCTTGGGTATTCAATTCTGTTCTGTTAACTATCTCGCTATTTCTTCCCTACCCTTTTGGACTTCCTTCTTCCTTAGTATAAGGAAGAAGGAAGTCCAAAAGGGATAGTCCAAAGAAGGAATAGTTATAGCATTATCTGAGCTTGGTTCTTTGTATGTCTCATGATATTTTGTCTGCCAACATTTTGGATTTTTTGGGTGATGCCATGTTACTGCTTATAGTTTTGAGTTTGAATCCTTAAGAACCAGTATCTTTTTTGCAAAAGTACTTTGTTCCACCATCTGCTGTGCGTGACTCTTTATTCGGTATATTTGCCATCATCGGCTAACAATATTTTCATCTTTAACTTTACTATGGTCTGGTAAAAGAATCAAAAGCTTTGGAGATGTCAATATAAATGGTATATGCAAGCAATTTTTCTTCTTTATAATTTAGAACAGTTGCCTTTGCTTTTAGTAAATTACCTGTTGTGGAAGGGTATGCTTGTATGTAGATTGACTAAGGAAACATGACAAGAATATTTAGCAACAGTATTTTATTTCATATATTTGAACAAGTTTTTTGTGAATTTCAACTCTATAATCAACAATTACAACATGGCTTCTAATAATGATTAATGGTGGGAATGACAAAAGATATACCATTCGCAACAAATAAGTACAAATGATACCTGAAAGCATATAACTAATGCATATATACTAACTTAAAAACTAGGGGAAGATCAGAGATGATAGGGAGAGTACAATATTTGGGAAAATAGAATATAGTAAAGAGTGAAATACCCAGGGTTTTGCTGGACTTCACAATTTGGGTAGGATGCCACATTGAAGCTTTTCTGGAAAGTCTCTCCTTGTTGTCTTCATTAAGTTTCTCCTTACACCTAGTATCTACACTTTTTATCGTAACTACAATATAATCCAACATTTTTCTCGGACTGCTTGAATTCTCCAGTCGTTGATATTTACAACCTGAAGCACCACATTCGACATCTGTCCACCTTGAGGTCTGGGGCAAAGAATCTCTCTTTCTTCCACTCACTGGCCCTCAGGGCCTCCTTTCTTTCATTGTTATTCCTGGTTTCAAGAATTGGTCATCATCACCCAAGGGAAAGAAAGGAAAGTTCTGGAAGCAAGAAAAAACAAAGAACAAAGGAGAGGACTAAAACTATACTTAAATTAATACATACAAAATGGAGTACTGCCACATGTGCAATGTTGAATAAGTGATAATTAATGCCTGAATTTTTATGTAGGGGAAAAAGGGTGTGAATTAGGCTGAAAAGGGTCAGAAATAAGTGCAAAAAATTTACATTTCAGAAAACACAACTAGTATTCAAATAAAAATTTGTTACAGTACATGATATTTATCATTTCATTGTTTTTCTGTAAAGTTCATTTGCTTGTCTGCTAATAAATGCTTATGTATGGAGAAAGATCTTTCTACCTCCATGGAAACAAGTATTTCATGTCTGCAATGAATGAATTCTTGAATTACTGGGTTTTTCCAAATTGACTGCTTGAGCATTTCTTTTGCAAATTCCTCTAAATGGACCAGAGTTTATTTCATTATTCCCCACTGATATTTCATAGTATTTCCAGTTTCTTCCAAACTTTTTATTGCCATTACTAAGAATTTAAATACAGTCGACCCCCCCTATAACACTGGTTCCAATAGTTCTGATTCCTATATCACGGCAAAAAAATTGTGACTGTATTTGTATAAAAAATCTTGTATAATTCGGTAAAACGTCATCGCCGACTAGTGTTGTGACAGGATTGGTTGAACCTAGATCAATAGCGGATATTGTACAAACCATTGAGTTTAAACGAGCAGCGGACCTACTAAAAACCATTTATTATTTAATGTCCATAAAAATTATATTTATATTAATGATGTCTCCAAAGTTCAGCGAATTTTTCGCAAAAAAAAAATAATTTATTGGGAAGCACGCGAACGCCATTCAATGACAATCTCCACGATGAAAACAAGCTTAAGAAATGGTGTAGTCAAACGGTGCACACTCAGTAAGTAATCCTACAATTTTTTGTTTATAGCATAGNGGGTACTGCTGCAGTGCGAATAAGCTCGCGCGATGAGCGCCCGGAATGCTGCTAGCTTATACTTAGGCGGGTCGTGTGAATTCCATGGGATAAATATCGGGTTGTATGTAGGCTTTCTATAGATTTTAGTGAGAAAATTCCCTTTGCTGTCAATTTGTATATATAAATCCAGAAAGTGTATGCATGTATTACTTTCTTGCTCTAGTTCAATTTCGAGGCCGAACTTGTTGTCGTTAACGCTCTTTATGAAATGCTGTAAGTTGGGTTTGACACTCCATAAAATAACCACGTCATCGACATACCTTGCATATAGTAGGATTTGAGTTTCGTAACTGGGCACAATGGTATTCTCTAGCGTTCTTAACACCATCTCACATAATGTACCCGCCATTGGGCTTCCCATGGCGACGCCCTTCTGTTGCGTGTACGTGACGCCTTTAAAGTTAAAAATAGAAGAAAAAGTTGCTAGATGCGTCAACTCTAAAATATGCTTTCTCTTCTTTTCTGGATGCTTGATCTTGCTTAAAAGGAAATCCCGTAAATGGCAAAAACATGGTTCTAACAGGATGGAAGGGTACAACGCCTTGAAATCCAATACGGTCATATACTTAACTTCTTGGGACTTTATATTTGCCATTTTTCGTATAAGCTCTAACGGTTGTTTTACGCTATATCGATGTGGGGGTGAGTACTTGTGAATGAACTCATTGAGCAATCTTTCCAATAAAATTGTGGGGGCGCATCCTTTATCAACGACAGGCCTTAAGCTTTTATCCTTTTTATGGATTTTGGCAAATCCAAATAGCCTAGGTGCTGAC